GTTTGTGTGTGTGTGTGTGTGTGTTTGTACGTGCGTCCTACCACCCCATCTGTCTTCGTTACTACCACGAGTAAGAAAGCTTTCTTATGCCTTATTTTCCTTGTCCTTTCCTTCTCTGCCCTAATTCATATGCTCTGTAATTTCATTTTTCGTTTACGTGCACTGTAATAGCTGACGTAATGATATACTTCTTCGGAACAATCTATTAAAAACATTCAATCCAAGAATATCTGTCAAAAGGCCAAAAAATAACCAACTTCTATTACTAAAATTTGCATAAAATACGAACCTGAATAACAGAAACTGAATAACCTAAAATAAGAGGGGGAGAAGGAGGAAGAGGAGGAAACTAAAAAGAACAAAAAGAAGAAAAGAAGAAGAAAAAAAGAAAAGAAAAAGATAAACGTAGAAAAGAGAAAGAAAAAAAAAGAAGAAAAAAAAAGAATAAGTGGAAAATAAAGAGAAAAGAAAAGAAGAGAAAAAAAAGGAAAAAGAAGAAGATATAATCACGATAAATTAAAAGACAATAAAAAAGCTGATTGACCATTAAACCCACAATAAAAAAAATAATGTTTTAGGAACACTATCTGAAGCCCAAGAAATAAACAGTAATAAAAACGAAAGATAAATGTAAGCGCCGTAAAAGGTAAATAAAAAGAAAGAAATAAAGACAGTGCTTAGAAATAAACATAGATGAAAAGCAAAAGGCAAGACGCAGAAAAAATAAACACATTTAACATAAAATTCCAAAAGAAAAGAAAATTAAAACAAGTGACTATAATAATAATAATGATAATAATAATAATGATAATAATATTAATAATAATGATAATAATAATAACAATAATGATAATAAAATAATCAGATGGTAAAGAGATAAGAACGAAAGCACTGAAAATATAGAAATACAGAAACGAGATACAATGATACAAATTCATAAGCATCAGTAGTAAAACAAGGATTTCTCTCTCTCTCTTTCCTACTTCTCACTCTCACCTTTTTCAGTCTCTCAGTCTTTCTCTCTCACTCACTCTTTCTCCTTCCCTCTCTCTCTCTCTCCCTTTCTCACGCTCACTTTTTCTCTTTCACTCTCACTCATTCACTCCCTCTTTCTCTTTCTCACTCTCACTCTTTCTCTCTGTCTCTTTCCTTCTCTCTCCCTCTCTCTGTCTGCATGTATGTCTCTCTCTCTGTCTCTCTATTTCTCTTTTTCTCTCTTTCTCTCTCTCTCTCTTTCTCACTCTCAATATCACCCTTTCTCTTTCTCTGTCTGTCTCTCTCTCTCTCTCTCCCTTTCTCACGCTCACTCTCTCTCTCACTCACTCCCTCTTTCTCTTTCTCACTCACACTTTCTCTCTGTCTCTTTCCTTCTCTCTCTCTCTCTCTGTCTGGCTGTATGTATGTCTCTCTGTCTCTCTCTCTCTCTCTCTTTCTTCCTCTCTATTTCTCTTTCTCTCTCTCTCTTTCTCACTCTCAATCTCACCCTTTCTCTCTCTTTCTCTCTCTCACTCCCTCTCTCTCTTTCTCTCTCTCTCTCACTCATTCCCTCTTTCTCTTTCTCACTCCCACTTTCTCTCTGTCTCTTTCCTTCTCTCTCTCTCTCTGTCTGTCTGTATGTATGTCTCTCTATCTGTCTGTCTGTATGTATGTCTCTCTATCTGTCTGTCTGTCTCTCTCTCTTTCTTCCTCTCTATTTCTCTCTCTCTCTCTTTCTCACTCTCAATCTCACCCTTTCTCTCTCTCTCTCGCTTATTCTCTCTCTCTCTCTCTCTCACTTACTCTCTCTCTCTCTCTCTCTCACTTACTCTCTCTCTCTCTCTCTCTCTCCCTCTCTCTCTCTCCCTCTCTCTCTCTCTCTCTCTCTCACTCTCTCTCTCGCTTATTCTCTCTCTTACTCTCTCTCTCTCTCTCACTTACTCTCTCTCTCTCTCTCTCTCTCTCTCTCTTTCACCCTTTCACTCTTAAAAAGCTGATCCTTGTACAGTTGCCTTAAAACGTTAATTAAGACAAGTTACTCTGGAGACGTCACTTTTTATGTACATAATAGAACTTGCCTGAAAAGAAGAAGGAAAAAAAAAGACAGAAAAAGAAGAAGGACATAGAAAGAGGAAGAATAAAAAGGAGAGATAAAGAACAAGACAAAGGACAGAAATAAAGAAAAAAAGGCAGATAATGGAGAAGAACAAAGATAGACATAGAAGAAGGAAAATGGACAGAGAAGAAAAATAACAGGTAAAGGCCAAATAAAAGAAGAACAATGAATGAAGAATAAGAGAGAAGGATAGACAAAGAGGAAGAAAAGGACAGGCGAAGAAGAAAAAGAAGATGAAGAATACTAACAATAACAGAACACTTAACAAATAAGATGAGATAAGAAGAGATCACGAAGAAGAATAAAACATATATGGAGGAAGAAGAAAAAAAATGATAAAGAAGAAGAAGAAAAAATGGATAAAGAAGAAGAAGAAGAAAAAATGAGGAAGAAAAAACAGATGATAAA